ACAGGAACCGGGAGCAATCAGTATAATCCATCTTGTGGATGAGGGGTCTAGAGCCCTCTGGGCCCCTGCCCAGCCCCCCAAGCCAGCTAGGCTCTCTTCTCCCTGAGCCAGCTGAAAAACTAACTCTTGCACCCATCAACTGACCCCAGCCCTCCAGGTAGCTCCGCCTCCTCCTTTGTCCTGCTTCCAGGACCCCAGATATTATCTGACTATCACTGGTTGCATCTTCCTTCTAGGGTCAGGTGCCAGGCTGTCCTGGGCCATTCCTTCCGTGCCTTCTCTCAAGAGTTCTCACCCAAAGATCCCATCCCGTTCCGTGCAGGTGTGGTGTCCACACACAGACGCACTCACTACAGAGCAGTCTAGGACAGTAGGAATCGCATCATAATAAATCGAACAGTGAATACAAAACCAGAGTGTACGTCACAGATGTATCGAAAAATTGTTCTTACTGGCCTCTGAGGATAGAACAAGAATAATGGGGTTAAACTGCAGCAGGGGAGGTTTAGGTTGGACATTAGGAAAAAGTTCCTGTCAGGGTGGTTAGGCACTGGAATAAATTGCCTAGGGAGGTTGTAGAATCTCCATCTGGAGATACTTAAGAGTAGATTAGATAAATGTCTATCAGGGATAGTCTAGACAGTACTGGGTCCTGCCATGGGGGCAGGGGACTGGACTCGATGACTTTGAGGTCCCTTCCAGTCTCTCTCTGAAAGTATGGATCTCTCACTGTTTTCTGTTGTGCTCAATGTTATGATTATATCATAGATGCTCATGTAGTATATTGTGAGCACCCCATCTCAGAGTGGACATCACAATTACTGGATCTGTGGTCTGCCACAGGAGGATGGAGGATAGGTCCATCGATGGCTATTAGCCAGGATGGGTAGGAATGGTATCCCTAGCCTCTGTTTGTCAGAATTTGGGAATGGGTGACAGGAGAGGGTTCACTTGATGATTCCCTGTTCTGTCCAATCCCTCTGGGGGCACCTAGCATTGGCCACTGTCAGAAGACTGGATATTGGGCTAGATGGACCTTTGGTCTGACCCAGTATGTCTGCTCTTATGTGCCATGGAAAGAAATAACTCCAGGTGACTTTTGGTATTCATGGAGCAGCTGCACAGCATGGACTGTTGCTTTTGGATTCAGTATGCAAGCAGAGAATGGTGGAATTGCCTCATGCAGCCTTGGGATGACAAGCAGTGGCTGCAGAACTTTCAGATGGAAAAAGTCAATCTTCAAGCAAGTATGCATTGAGCTCACCGCAGCACTGGGGCACAAGAACATCAAAATGAGAGCTTCCCTCTTGGAGAAGCACATGATGATCACTGGAGCTCCAAATCCAGATGCTGCTTGTTGGTTACATATCAGATTGGAGTTGTAAAGTCAACCGTTGAGCAGTAGTAACACAAGTGCAGGGCCATTAATCACATCCTGCTACAAAGACTGTGACTCCTGGCAGTGTGCATGAAATATTGGATGGCTTTGTGGTAATGGGATTCCTTAGCTGCAGCGGGGCAATAGATGGCATGTGTATTCCAATTTTGGCCCCAGACAATCTTATGATGAAGTACCTCCGTAGAAAGGAGTATTTCTCTGCTATTGCAGGCACTTGTGGATAACTATGGGTGTTTCACTGACGTCATTGCTGGATGGTGCACACGTCTTCAGGAACAGTGGCCTCAACTGAAAACTCCAAGCAGGGACTTTTTTCCCGACCTAGATGTTGAAATGCCCCTAGTCACTCAGATGCAGGGTATCCCATTCCCAGGACTTGTGAAATCTTTCACAGGAAACCTGGACAGCAGGAAGAGATGCATCCACAGTAGGTACAGCACGTGCAGAATAATCATGTGCCTTTGGTGGAGTAAAACCATGCTGGCGCTGCGTTTGTGGCAGGTTAGACCTAAATGAGGAAAATCTTCCTGGGGTCATAGCCAGTGTTCCCACTAATCTGGGCAGCAGCAACTTCACAGGTGATTAATGAGCTCCATCCTGTCAGTCTCAGGGCTCCGTGCATGGAGCTGACTGACTGGGCAGAACTGATTAATCACTTGTGAAGCTGTGCTGCCCTGCAGTTTAGAGGGAACACTGGTCATAGCAGTCTGCTGTGAGCTTCATCATATTTGAGACTAAAAGTAAAACATTTCTCGAGGGGGCACAAAGGCAGTGTTCCCTCTAATTTTTCCCATGCGTGTGCAGAGTTAATTATATGTGCACCAGTATGGAGGTGATGTGCGATAGATGCTGTCACATAGTGTGGGGGAGTCATCAGGCCCTGCACCCCCATCTGCAGTCATATGTGAGTCTCGGACAGCAAATAGAACGGAAGGTGTATTCGTTGATGGGGACACAGCGTAGCACAGACTTGTTACAGGAACCGGGAGCAATCAGTATAATCCATCTTGTGGATGAGGGGTCTAGAGCCCTCTGGGCCCCTGCCCAGCCCCCCAAGCCAGCTAGGCTCTCTTCTCCCTGAGCCAGCTGAAAAACTAACTCTTGCACCCATCAACTGACCCCAGCCCTCCAGGTAGCTCCGCCTCCTCCTTTGTCCTGCTTCCAGGACCCCAGATATTATCTGACTATCACTGGTTGCATCTTCCTTCTAGGGTCAGGTGCCAGGCTGTCCTGGGCCATTCCTTCCGTGCCTTCTCTCAAGAGTTCTCACCCAAAGATCCCATCCCGTTCCGTGCAGGTGTGGTGTCCACACACAGACGCACTCACTACAGAGCAGTCTAGGACAGTAGGAATCGCATCATAATAAATCGAACAGTGAATACAAAACCAGAGTGTACGTCACAGATGTATCGCCTCCACATTGGTGCATATAACAAAATTCACGTGGTGGGGATGGGACTGGGGTTTGAAGGATGGGGGCAGGGGAGGCTGAGGCAGAAGGTTGGGTTATAGGGGTATGTGTGGGGTGAGGGCTCCAGCGGGGAGTGAGAGCTCTGGGCTGGAGCAAGAGATGAGCCGTTTGGTGTGCAGGTTGTCCCAGGGCTGCAGCAGGGAGAAAGGACTCACCCCAGCTCTGTCTCCCCACAGCAGCTCCTGGGCTGGTGCTAGGGAAAGGGGGTCTCTCCCCATTGCAGCCCTGAGAGTCTGGCTGCGTGGCCCTTGGTAGGTGTTGTACAGTTACACCGCTTAAAGCGAGCTTATCTTGGCTGCTGAATTTGAGCAGCCAGATACCAGGGCTGTTCTAAGAGGGAGGAATTCCAATCTGAGAGGGGCCTTAAGGCAGTATTTTGACAATGAGCACAACTAATGTGTTTTTCCATACAGCACTCTGCCATGCTTTGTTAAATTGCCACCTTTCATGAAAGTAGTAATGATTCTGATCAGGATTTGTAGTCAGTAAGTGATCAAACTGCCACTGTATTACTACTAGCAGCGAGCATCCCATGTAAGAGACAAAGCTGGCTTGTGTTTCAAAGAGTTTGATTTTATTAAATACCCAATTAAAGCACACTGAAGGGTTGGTGGAAAGGGAGATTAGAGCGCAGGGTAGTAGAGGGTCTCATAACTTTGGGTAAGTTCAGCTGTCATTTGGAAACTGTCCGAATGGTGGAGTAAACAGCATACAGAGACAAGTCAGGAAGTTGCGAGGAATGTGAGAGCAGTTTGAGGGGGACATGAATGTCAGTTCTGTATGTGTTCTGCCTGGTGCATGATTAGGGACTTCAGCATCTCTGCTTGTTCCTCCATCACTTGGTTCATCCACTTCTGGCCCTTTACAATGCATTCCTCACTCTTCTTTCAGTTCTGCCTTTCTGTTTTAAAATTCTCCTTCAGTGTCTCTCTCCACTCTCTGCATGGGTAGATGGCTTAAGGGGATTACTGCAAGTGATCAGGGACAATATTGTAAATTCTACAGCCAATCTGTGGTCATTGAAGCCGATACCTCACTCCTAAGGCATCAGCAAGATTGCATCTTCTGGACGTGTGGCTCAAACTTGCTCCTTATACTGCTGGTATGTGTGCTGCTTTAGACCCCGCACAAGTGATTGGTACAGGAAAACTCCCTACGATAGGGGAAGGAACAAAGGTGCTCTGCCAAGGGACCTGTGGCAGAGGATTGGCGAGTACCCCCAGGAAAACTTCTTAGATCTCTGTGGAGGAGTCCTATGAAATCATGATGTGCATTAATGCATTGTTCTACCACGTTGCTTAGTACTACAGGAAATACGGAGCACACTCAAACATAGCTAACCTTGTACATTTCTATCCTGTCACCCACTTCAGGAGTATACAGAGCAAAGGGCAGCTCTGCCTCTCTTAAAACCAAGCAACATCAACTCAAAAATATCTTTTACCAGGGTTCTCTTCTGCATCGTGCACACCATAGACAGATGGCTGGGACTAGCTAGACCCCTCCAGAATAGAAAAAGATCCTGATCCAGCGTGCTGCCCGACAGCCCTGACGTGCTCCAGATCATAATCCAGCTTGATCTCCTTATTCACAACTTCGTCCTCATGGTTGAGTCCACTTTCCACCGCCTCCAAAGTATTCACAGGTCTCTTGGCAGTGAAGGTGGGGTCTCCACCAAAGATGGTGTCCAGATCCACATAGAAGCAGCAGGTCGCCAGTACAGCACCAGAGTAATGGTTTGCTTCCCTTGCCTTCGGGTATGTTTGCCTCACCTCCTTTATCTTCACACGGCACTGATGTGCATCCCGTTCATAGCCCATATCCAAGAAACCACGAGAAATCTGCTTGTAGGTATCAAAGTTTCTACAGCTGGAAAGGAGCTGAGACTGCACATGCCAGCAGACCCAACAACTGAGGTGTGCTCCACGTGGGAGAGTATTTGCTGCCTGGAGCTCCTGGAGCTGCCATGGCCAGCTGGAAAGATGTGCTGTAAGCTCTCCAAGCTGAGAAAACAGGATGTGGAATTTCAAAAATTCACAGACATTAAAGAGGAAGGGGCAGATGCCTTTGTACCTGGGTGCAGGGTCAGGATAGGCATTATGGGACATCTGGCCTCAAGAAGGCGTCCCATAGTTTCCCATCATGACTACACTGCTGTCCAGCAATCAGGTACACAGGTATATGCCCTTCCCTTTTAAAGCCCTGGAAATTTTTGAAATTCCATTTCCTGTTTGCTCAGCATGGAGAGATCACCTGATGCCTGCCCAGCTGCTCCATATGCTATACATGCTTCTGCCCAGAGTGCCCAGGAGATGGTGGATTGCCTGGGTCTGTGGGGAGAGGAGTCTGTGGGCTCAGTGCAAATCCAGCTGAAGAAACATTGTTATTCCTCTTCCTTAGTTCACATCGCAGGCAGGCTGGGTCTGACCTCATTCAGAGAAAATCGCAATAGGCGCATTTCCAGTGTGCTATTACTACCCAGACAGCACTCTTTGCACTCCAGTATGAACCTGGAAAAAACCTCAGACAGAGCACACTGCAACACACATTACTATGGCTCAATATTAAGACAGCCTTTCAGGCCTCCCTGAGCTATATAGCTCTGTGGGCTTCTCTTATAGCCCTGGTATCTGTCTGCTCAAAATCAACAGATAACTGTTTCACTTCTGCTTTCAACCTCAGCAGATACTTTCCCCCTTTTCTTCACAACTATTGTGAAGCGCACGGCAGGCATCTCTAATCTTTGGGATTTTTTTCACTGAGATCTAATCTTGTGAGGAGGAGTAGATGAAGTTCTTGCTGCTGTGGAGGTGACCAGCATACAGCTTCATCAGCCATAGGAGTAAGAGAGGCTGGGTCTCCCAGGGTCACTGCTGGCATTTCAACATCTACAATGGTTATCCTCTCATCTGTAAATGAAGTCCCTGAGTGGCGCTTTCAGAACAGACCTGTGTTCTTAATTACATGTATTTTCCATGACTCTCTTCCACTTGCGTTGGCATAACTTTCCTGGTGATCCACCAGCACTTGCAGTGACATAGAGCAGTGTCCCTTTCTGTTGCTGTTCTCTGTGGCAGGGTTGTCTGGTACCAAAATAGGAATATGTTTGCCATCTATTGCCCCACTGCAGTTTGGGAACTGTGTTGCTGCAAAGCCATCCACTACGTCCTGCACGTTGCCCAGAATCATGGTCCTTCACAATAGGATGTGATTAATGCCCTGCATACTTGCATCACAGCAACTCCCAGCATGGATTTCCCAAATCCAGTTCCTGACTAATAGCAACCTGGCATTGCAAGCTTCCACACAGCCATTGCCTCTTGCTTCTCCACTGTCCATGCCACTCTCATTTTGGTGTCACTGTGCCAAAGTTCTGGGTCGAGCTCTGCACAGACTTCCAGGGATATAGCCTTGCACATTCAAAAGTTCTGCAGCCACTGCTGGTTGTCCCATACCCACATAACAGTGTAATCCCATCAGTCAATGCTTGTTTCCCAGGACCAGAATTAGGGCTCCACTGTCTGCAGCTGCTCCATGAAAGCGAACAGCCGAAAATTGTTTCCTTCTGTGTCCCACAGCAAGGCAGCCTCCAAGGAATCATCTTGTTCTGCCCGGCTCCTCTGGTGGCTTTCCAAATACTGCAGATCAGGCTCAGCGTGCTCACAATGCCCGCCCAGTAGTACAGAGCTATGGAGTATCCATGCTTCTCACAGAGTTGGCAGACGTGCAGATTAACAGCACATTTGAAAAGAAGCTCAAAACATTACAGGAAGCAGATAAAATTATGGGATGAAGAATACTGCCTCGTGGGATGTTGAAACCATGTTTCCAGTCGTGCTGCACAACTTGTTTGCCCCCATGAGGCACTGCAAACCCTGCGCTAGATGGTGATGAGTTCAGTGGGATAGCTACCCATGGTGCACTGCTCTGTCAGTGCTACTAGTGAGACTGTGCACCATCGACACAAGAAGCATAGTGTGGATGTGCAGAACGATGTAATTACTGCTGCAGCTGTACATGGAGGTAATTTAAATTGACTTAATTTTGTAGTGTACACTTTGCCTTAGTCAATTTCTCAGCCGCTGCTTTCCTGAAAAGAGGTGGTAGATAAGTGACTGCCTGTGATGTTTGTAGTAAAGAAAAAGGAGCTGAAGAAATACATGCGTCTTGGTTTCCTTCTTGATTAGTAAGTACAGATGGAAAAGTGGCTTCCGCTGACAGATGCAGTGATACATTACTGGAGCTTGTGGACATACAGATTTATAGGACTTTGTGCAAACGTGTTCTACCCCAATGCGTTAGAGTGACTGCAACTTCTGAGCACAAACAGTTTAACTATAATCCTAGGGCCCTTATTCGGTTTCTTCTTTTGATCCTTATCCCGTCTTCCTTATCATGCTGCCTTGCTCCATTCACTCCTCTCACTAGAGTGATGTCTGTCAGTATCGCTTATCCTTCTGTGTCCCTACCCAAATCCCCGGGCTAATTATGATTCTCAGCCAGGGGCCCCGGTCCCCTAGGGGATCACAAGCTGGTTTCAGGTATTCACCAAAATAGGGAGTAGGGCTGGCATTAGACTGGCTTAGGCCCAGGACAGAAAGCAGAAGCGCAAGTCCCACCACTCAGCCCTGCGCTTTGCTGGACACCCAGTAGCACGAAGCCCCAGGCAGTTGTATTGTCTGTTGCCCCTTGACACCAGCCCGCAATGGTAATCTACTGGATTTGCAGAAAACCAGTTGGTGTGGGCTGTGGGATTTGTATAGCATGTTGGGGGGCATCAGAATAGGAATGTAAATCTCATTTAAATGGTTATCCAGTTAAACACATTGTTAAACATACTGGTTAACCAATTAAAAGGGAGCAGTCTCCACACTCACTGCTGGCCTGGAGCGCCTCCCCCTGCCTGCTGCAGGCAGGGGCTAATCCCGAAAACCAGTTGGTGTGGGCTGTGGGATTTGTATAGCATGTTGGGGGGCATCAGAATAGGAATGTAAATCTCATTTAAATGGTTATCCAGTTAAACACATTGTTAAACATACTGGTTAACCAATTAAAAGGGAGCAGTCTCCACACTCACTGCTGGCCTGGAGCGCCTCCCCCTGCCTGCTGCAGGCAGGGGCTAATCCCGTGGGCAGA